CAAAGCTGGTTGTTAAATATCTTCCTGTTCTGCCCTCGCCGGTTTGGCTCAGCAGTTAGAGCATTGGCCTGCGAACCAGAGAGTCCTGGGTTCGGTTCCCGCTAAGGGCAAGTACCTCGGTTGCAGTTTGTCCCCTGCCCTGGTTGGGGTCGTGTGGGTGGCAGCCACTCGATGTGTCTCCCTCATGTTGATGTTTCTCTCTGTCTCTCTTCCCTCCTCTCTCCCTCTCGCTCTATCTGAAGATAAATGCAAAAATGTCCTCGGGTGAAAGTTAAAAAAAAAAAAATCTACCTGTTCTGGTTCAGAGACACTATTCTGTTTGTCTTGTCATAGGCCCACTCTATCTCTACTGTCACCTTCTGTTCTAGTCTTCAATCCAGATTTCCATCCTGGAAAGAGAGAAACCAAAAGTTGGATCATCACTTAAAAACTAATGAGATGATAGAGCTGGGTTTAAAGAAATGAATGCACAGGCTGGTTGCAAATGATTTGTAGACTCTAGAGTGGAGTGCCTGTCTCTGGCTCTTCTCCCCTTCCAGGAAACCCTCTGTCCATGATGAAGGGCTTCGGTCAGTCAGCACAGAGGTCTTATGTAGACAGAGCCCGAAAGGATTCTGAAGAAGGCATTGGTTGTCTTCTAGGTACCTATCTTACAGATCTATCTCAATAGCCAACTGAAGGATTCCCATGCTGACAGCTAGGAAGACAGTATGTACCTATTTCTGGCCTATAGTCACATCTGGGATTAATAAACTCAGCAAATCTTTTTTTTTTTAATCCTCATCCGAGGACATTTTTCCATATTTTGTTCAGACAGAGTGGGAGGGGGAGAGAGAGAGAGAAACATCGATGTGAAAGGGACACATCAAGTGGTTGCCACCTGCACGACCCAACCAGGGCCGGGGACAAACTGCAACCGAGGTATGCGCCCTTAGTGGGGACCGAACCCGGGTCTCTCTGGACTGCAGGCTGACGCTCTAACCGCTGAGCCAAACCTGCCAGGGTGCAAATCTTTTTTTTTATCCTCACCTGAGGACATTTTTGCATTTCTCTTCAGGTAGAGTGGGGGCGGGGGGGAGAGAAACATCGATGTGAGAGAAACACATAGAGTGACTGCCACCCACACGACCCCAACCGGGGCTGGGGACAATTTGCAACCGAGGTACGTGCCCTTAGTGGGAACCAAACCTGGGACTCTTTGGTCTACGGGCTGATGCTCTAACCACTGAACCAAACTGGCCAGGGCAATTCTGCAAATCTTAAAATTAGGATTAAAGTTTGCAAGAGAGCTAGGAAGCCCTGGTCGGTTTGGGTCAGACATTAGAGCGTCGGCCCGCGGTCCAGACAGACCGGGCTAGGAAGACCTGGGTTCGGTTCCCACTGGGGGCACATACCTCATTTGCAGTTTGTCCCGGGCCCTGGCTGAGTCATGCGGGTGGCGACCACTTGATGTGTCCCTTTCATGTCAATGTTTCTCTCTCTTTCTCTCCCTACCACTCTATCTGAACAAAAAATGAAAAGAAAAAAAAAGAGAGAAAGCTGGGAAAATCTTTAGGGGTCATTCAACATTTTCCCTATTCCCTCATTTTACTGATGAAGAAGCCAAGTCCACACAGTAATTAATAGCTTGCCCAAGGTCACACAACAGATTAGTGGCCAAAGTCCAAAGCTCCCAATACCTGGAGCAGAGAGGCCTTTCTCTTTCTTTTCTTTTCTTTTTTTTTTCTTTATTGATTTTTAGAGAGAGAGAACGGAAAAAGGAGAGAGAGATGGAAACATTAATGAGAGAGAACATCGACTGACTGCCTCCTGCATGCCCCCCACTGGGGATCAGGCCCACAACCTGGGCGTGTGCCCTGACCAGGAATCAAACCGGTGACCTCCTGGTGCAGTGGTCGGCGCTCAGCCACTGAGCCACACCAACCGGACAAGAGTCCTTTTCTTAACATCTTAAATTCCTTTTAAAGAAAGTATCTGGCCCTGGCCGGTTTGGCTCAGCAGTTAGAGTGTCAGCCTGTAGTCCAGAGAGACCCAGGTTCAGTTCCCGCTAAGGGCACATACCTTGGTTGCAGTTTGTCCCCGGTCCTGGTTGGGTCATGCAGGAGGCGGCCACCTGATGTGTCCCTTTCACATCGATGTTTCTCTCTCTCTCTCCCTCCCACTCTATCTGAACAAGAAAGAAAGAAAGAAAGAAAGAAAGAAAGAAAGAAAGAAAGAAAGAAAGAAAGAAAGAAAGAAAGAAAGAAGGAAAAGAAAGGAAGAAAGGAAGAAAGGAAGAAAAGAAAGAAAGAAAGAAAGAAAGAAAGAAAGAAAGAAAGAAAGAAAGAAAGAAAGAAAGAAAGAAAGAAAGAGAGAAAGAATATGATCTTTAGAGAATCTGAGCAGGAGCAAGCACAAAGTTTGCTCACAAAAAGCACACTAACTTCTGCTTCCTAGAAAATAAAGGAATATTTTAATAGAGTACCAACTCAATGTTAGGTGCTATGGGGAACAAAGAGGAATAAGACCTAGTCAATCAAACACAGGAAATTAATTTGGAGTCACTCCTAAAACTCTTTCCAGGGATGTGAGAAGACTTCCTTATGGTTAATGCTAACCCTGATCTGACCCCACAGTGAGCAGAATGGAAATCAACCCTGCTGTTTTAAGAAGTGAAAGTTAAGCATTAGATTCTTGCTTGGGTATAGTAGGAAACAGAGGAAAGGACACTGCGGCAAACTCAGTGGGCCCTTCCTAAGTGATTCAAGTCTCCAACACCTCTTTACCCCAAGGAAGGGAGCCCACAAGCATGCAGAGGAAGAGCTTGCTGGGCTGAGCCAGAGCTTTAGTCCATCAAGGACATTTGGCATTCGTGACATTTGTACCCATCTTTCTAGAAAAATGAAACCGAAAATAAGGTATAAATAATAGGAGCCCAAATTTCTTATTAGATTCAACATATCTAAAGTTACTCCATCAAATAACTATAAAAAATTCTAAACACTTTCATTTCTGTACTTATCTTGTCAGAAAGATAACAGTTTGCAGACTAACACCAATCCTAACCCATACTTTGAGTGCATTACCCTAAAAAGGCCTGGGGGCCCTGGCCAAGTAGCTCAGTTGGTTAGAGTGTTGTTCCAATACACCAGGATTGCAGGTTTGATCCCTGGTCAGGATGTATACAAGAATCAATGAGCCCTGGCCAGTGTGGCTCATTTGGTTGGAGCATGGTCCCATTCACCAAAAGGTGGCAGGTTTGATTCCTGGTTAGGGCACATACCCAGGTTGCAGGTTTGATTCCTAGTCGGAGCATGTAGGAGAGGCAACTGATGAATGTCTCTCTCTTTCACATCAATGTTTCCTTCTTTCTTTCCTTTCCTCTCTCCCTCAAATCAATTAAAAAAAAAAAGGGTGTCCTCAGGTGAAGATTAAAAATATATATATTAAGCCCTGGCCAGTTTGGCTGAGCGGTCAGAGCGTCAGCCTGCAGTCCAGGGAGACCCGGGTTCTGTTCCCCGCTAAGGGCACGGACCTCGGTTGCAATTTGTCTCCGGCCCTGGTTGTTCGTGTGGATAGCAGCCACTCGATGTGTCCCTTTCACATTGATGTTTCTCTCTCTCTCTCTTCCTCTCTCTCGCTCCCACTCTATCTGAACAAAAAATGAAAAAATGTTCTCGGGTGAGGATTAACAACAACAAAATAATAATCAGTGTAGAAATGAATCAAAATTAAGAAGGAAGGAAGGAAGGAAGGAAGGAAGGAAGGAAGGAAGGAAGGAAGGAAGGAAGGAAGGAAGGAAGGGAGGAAGGAAATGGCCTAGGGGCTCCCTTGCCCTGAATCTCCTTTGGTGAGGGGATGTCTGAGCCGTTTTTCTCATCTAACCAGGCCTGGTGTTAGGAAGTGATCTGGATATTCATGGTCACAGGGTAATGAATCAGGACTGTGACTTCCAGTTTGTACTTTCCTGTGAATCTCTCTAGTCTGCCTTCCCCAGCCTTAAGAAAGTGCTTCACCAGGGAACATCTTGACCTCTTCACTGTAATCCCCAGTCCTACCCAATTGTGCTTGAGGTCCCTACTAAGGGGGACAAACTCTTTCTTTCATTCACTTATTCATGCATTCATTTGTTCATTTATCCAGGCATCTTCTTAAGTACTAAGAATATGAAGTGAATCTGAAAGACAGATTCCTGCCTAAGGGGCTGATGTCCTTGAAAGGAAGTGGTATCAGAAAGAAAGCCATCAGTCTTTTCAAATCCAGCCCTTGGTGGTCCAAAGGTTGATTCCCACATATACAAGCACTAACAAACTAGAGATATAACCCTCAAATATAAGACGATAGACGTATTAGGAATGAAAGAAATTTACCAGCGCTTACTTTGGTAGAATGTGCTACATGGTAATGTTGTAGAGATGACCTCTGCAGTGTTTCTGCTTCCTGGTCCCACAATTCCATGACTTTACAGTCAGTAAGGGAGGAGGGAGGAATAGTGTACCCCCTTACTTGGGTAAAGGACATAATTATTAACACCTTAAGAAAAAAGGCAGGGCAAGGGGTGGGGTTTCATTGACATATAAGGACACTGTAGCTCCAAGGCATAGGTGACCTACCTTCAGGGTTAGAACCTCACCTGCTCTAGGCAACAGGATTCTAAGAAATGAGCAGATAGAGACACAAGTCTGACTTATAGAGGAAAGATACTTCCAGGGTATGGAAAGACTTCAGACCCTCAGTCAGCATGGGAGGAAAGAAGGGCTGCAGGGGCGGGTGGGGTGGGGTGGGGTGGGGCGGGGCTTTCCTTGAGGCTTTGGGCTGAGTCCCTCCTTCCAAGTCCCCCATTGGGTCAGTGGCTCCAGCAGCCCTGCCAGTGAGGGACAAATGAGAAGAGCTGTTGATTTTTCCCCCTTGGCCATTCAGAATTTCCCTACATATATACTGAGAAAGACCCTTCTCTCTCCTCACTTTTTCTCTGGACTTGTCCCTGGGCTGAATCTGGTCCCCTAGGGGTGGGTGGGGCCATGGGGGATCTGTTTATGCTCAGGGTGGCTGTGGGCATATGCTATGCCACCTTCAGTGCCTCTGCCTGGTAAGTCCTTTCCCCCACCCCTCACTCCCTGCCAAGGAAGTCCCATTATCTGAGCTCTGCTCACCAATGCCTCACTTTTTCTCTTTTTGGTAGGTCAGTAAACAATTTCCTGATAACAGGTCCCAAGGTAGGATGGTCTCTGGCTTCTGTTTTTACCTATTCAGCTTCTTAAGGGAACTCTTTTGGGGAAGGAAAAGAGGGGAGGGGAGATGGTGCCAGAAGTCCCTCACCCAGAGGAACCATGATTGTTCCTTAAAGGAGAGCTAACCCATTTGAGTGTTGCCTGCCCCCCACACCCCAGACAACCTGACCTGAGCCAGGACTGAAGTTCATGGCCCTTTTCCCTTTCAAGGCCTATCTGACCTACACTACCAGTGTGGCCCTGGGTGCCCAGAGTGGCATTGAGGAGTGTAAGTTCCAATTTGCTTGGGAGCGCTGGAACTGCCCTGAAAATGCTCTCCAGCTCTCTACTCTCAACAGGCTGAGAGGTAAGTTTGTGCACCTGTACATGAGGGTACGTGTGCATGGAGGTGGGCTTGTATTATGTGTGTATGTGTAGCATGTATGTGCACAGTGAAATGAAAAAGTTATCAGTGATCTGCTGACCTGCCACTTCCTGGCTGTGTGACCTTGAATGAATTACCTTCCCTCTCAACCCGTTTTGTTATTTTGTCAGCTCTGTTCAACTCACCAGGAGTATTGTAAGGGTTGAATGAGGTGAATACAAAGGTATTTCTACATAAATGTAATAATTACTCTATTTTTTTTTAAATGCATGACTATATCTGTGTGTTTGTACACATTTATTTTGTACTAGTTTGAATGAAATGAAAATGTGGAAAAGGCTCTGTGTTTTCAGCCCCTGAGGGATTTTCCCACCTGCCAGCTGTCATAAAATCAGAGAACCTGAGAGATCACACTGAGCTGTGCCTCAGGTGGGGTATGTGTGTGTGCATGTGTGTACCTGTGAAGCTATTTGTAACGATGTATGGTAGTTTGTGTAAAAGTCATTTACGTAGGAACAATAAAGAGTTGCCTGAGAAGAGTGAGGAGAAGAAGTAAAGAAGATGAAGACAGAAAGAAATATCTCCCTGTGAGGTATACAGAAAGAGTGGGGAGTGTATGGAAATGAAATGGGACAATGTTTACGGTTAACAAAGATAAAAGCTCAGTAAGTGGTAGCCATGATCATTATGATTATTACATGGCTCTAGTTGCATATCAGAAAGAAGAAAAGGTCTTTCTGTTTTTCCTAAGACAGCCTCATGGCCCTGAGTCCTCACTGCCTGAGGACCAAAAGCAGTGGCTAATGACCAGAGGCTTAGGCTGGACTTCACGAGAGAAGAGTCCTGGTCCCAACACCACAGCTGGTGAGGAGAGTGGCCTTGGTCTCATCACTCTTTTATCTCTGGGTTTTATTTCCCCTCTCTGTAGCATGGGGATGCTCACTTCTGCCTGAATGAGGTCAAGATGAAGTAAGGAGATATGTACTGTTCTCTCAAGTAGAAGAACATCCTCTCAAACCCAAAGGGGGCAGGGGACAAGGGAGAAAAACTGCATTGCTTTTCCAGAGCCTCTGCTTTGGGTCATCAGAATCCAAGTTTCCAGTACCTTTTCTCTCTCCAAAGCCACCAGGGAGACTTCATTCATTCATGCTGTCAGCTCTGCAGGAGTCATGCACACCATCACCAAGAACTGTAGCATGGGCGACTTTGAAAACTGTGGCTGTGATGAGTCAAAAAATGGAAAAACTGGTAAGTTGGGCTCTAATGAGAGGGGTGCAGAACTGTGTGCAGGCTAAAATCTTCCAAGGGAAGTCTGAGGGACAGAGTTCCAGCTCCCTCAAGACTCTAGACTCCTGCCTGGCTGGTGTGGCTCAATGGATTGAGCCTTATCTCATTGACTGAGAGGTCTGGGTTTAATCCCCAGTTAGGGCACATGCCTGGGTTGCACGCTCGATTCCCAGTAGGGGATGTGCAGGAGGCAGCCGATTGATGTTTCTCTCTCACATCGATGTTTCTATCTCTCTCTCCCTCCCTCTCTCTCTAAAAAATCAATTAAAAATATTTAAAAAAATAAAAAAGCTTTATTAAAAAAAAAAACACACACAAAAAAAAACCTCTAGACTCCAGCAGCAACTTCATGGGTGGGAGCTCCTAGACCTAGATCCTCCTGAGAGTTGAGCTGGGTCCATGATTCCAGGAACAGCATGTAGCACAGAGCTCTAAAATGAACAAGGCGTCTATGAATGAGGAAGCCAAAGAGAGTTTAAAGTTAACCCTCATATTTTAGGCTTAGAATTGCTTGTTCATAATCCAGAGCACTCAATTATTTGTCACCTAAGAGACTCAGATTTGTCACTAAGGAGGAAAGAGGTGACTCTAACAAGACTGTTGTAGAATAATGGGTGCAGAATTCCAGAATGTTTGACCAGTGATGAACCTTTGAGGTAATCTAAGCCATCCTTAGTGTACCTTGTTTTACTGTGGGTATAGAGACAAACTGCTTAGAGTTGGGAAGTACCCGAAGGATAGACAGTTAGCTTTGGCAACAGGACTCCCCCCATCTGCCTCAAGTACCTCCATTTTTCTGTTTCACCTTCAGCTACAGGACTCTAAGGGATGGCTTCAGTATATTAGTCAAGATGACCATGACTCTTCTAGGATTTAGTAAGGAACTGTATGTAGAACTTATTCTTCTCTTATGTGTAGGAGGCCATGGCTGGATCTGGGGAGGCTGCAGTGACAATGTGGAATTTGGGGAAAGGATCTCCAAACTCTTTGTGGACAGCCTGGAGAAGGGAAAGGATGCCAGAGCCCTGATGAATCTTCACAACAACAGAGCAGGCCGGCTGGTGGGTATAGGAGTTGGCCAGTCAGCCATCAGGCTCAGTATTAGCAACAGCCTCATATCCGTACAGCCCTTCACAACTTACCAAGAGCTCTCTCATATCCATGTTTCATCCTCACACCACCGAGCAGGACTGGGATGGCCTACCCTCATTCTCTGGATGACAAAGCCAATTAAGGCCAAGCCAAGTGGCTTAGCCAAGGCAATACAACTAATGAGTATCATAGCCAGACAATGAACTCACCTTCTCATCTAGTTCTCTTATCACTAAATCTTGTGCTCTGGCTCCTTCACAGGCAGGTTTCTGAGAACACAGAATCAAGGCCTTACTTCCATGACTTAAATTTTTAACCCTTTTAACTGCACGTTCTAGGAAATTAACAGGGGCTTATCATCCAGCTCGTTTTAAAGTCTGATCTGGGCTTCACTGGAGGGTTTATTCTTCGCTAAAACTTCTGGTGGGGTGGCAATCCCTGAGGTATTCTGCACTCAGATCTGGAAGTAAGTTGGATTTAGAGCTGAGAGCATCAAAATTTCCCTTTGAACCTATATCTAGATGTCCCAGTTGCCTAGGGAAAGGGAGTAGGTCTTCAGAGCAATTTTGACCATGGGCAGTTGCTTTGGGGTAGAGGTTCAGACTCCAGGAGCTTCCTTTCCTCTGGGAGAGGGCTCAGAGCACAAATCCAGACCCCTACAAATACTCTAGCCCCCATCTTCAAAACAATAACAGTGCCAATGATAATATTTTCTTTTATAATTTATAAAGTACTTTCTTGATCACTCGTATTCCAATTAGCCAGATAAAGTAACAAGCTCAAGTGATGAAGTTTAGGCCTTGAGCCTTGGTTTCCTGACTCCAGTAACCTATTCAACACTTGTCTGGTTTTCCTTAAGAATCTCCCAATATCAAGGCCCTTACACCCTAGAACATTCGTATAGATAAGATCTGAAGTAGGGCCCAGGAAAAAAATTTTTCTCATGGGCTTCGCAAGTAATTCTGAGACTCCTCCAAATTTTGGTCTTCCCTAACCAGAGCAATTCTCTGATTTGTACTCTCCCCTCTGTCTCTCTCTCTGTGAAGGCAGTGAGAGCCACCATGAAAAGGACCTGCAAATGCCACGGCATCTCAGGGAGCTGCAGCATCCAGACATGCTGGCTGCAGCTGGCTGACTTCCGGGAAATGGGAGATTACCTAAAGGCCAAGTATGACCAGGCACTGAAAATTGAGATGGATAAGCGTCAGCTAAGGGCTGGGAACAGTGCCGAGGGCCACTGGGCACCCAATGAAGCCTTCCTTCCTAGTGCAGAGGCTGAGCTGATCTTTTTAGAGGAATCGCCAGATTATTGTATCCGCAATTCCAGCCTGGGCATCTATGGCACAGAGGGTCGGGAATGTCTGCAGAACAACCACAACACATCCAGGTGGGAACGACACAGCTGTGGACGTCTGTGCACTGAGTGTGGCCTGCAGGTGGAAGAAAGGAGAACTGAGGCCATCAGCAGCTGTAATTGCAAATTCCAGTGGTGCTGTACAGTCAACTGTGACCAGTGTAGGCATGTGGTGAACAAGTACTATTGCACACACTCCCCAGGCACTACTTGGTCCCCAGGGAAGGGCAGCACCTGATAACACCCCATACAAATTTACTTGCTCAACTGAATGACAATGGAGGGGGACACAGCTTCTCTCTTGGAGAGAGTAGATTGGAAAACAATTGGAAAATCACAGGGTTGGTTGGCAGTCCTCTTGATGTCTGCTATACATGGGGAAATTGAGGCTCAAGATTATACCACATACTCTTGACAGAGCTGAATTTGGAACCTGGGCCTCCTAATTTGGGCAGACCTCATTTCATCTTTCTACAAATTACTTCCTGGTCTTTGATACCAGTACTTTATTATTTTTATTTTTTCTTTATTGATTTTAGAGAGAAAAGGAAAGAGAGAGATAGAAACATCACTGAGAGAAAACATCGATTGGCTGCCTCTTGCATGGCCCCTACTGGGGATTTGGCCCACAACCTGGGCATGTGCCCTGACCAGGAACCGAACCTCTTGGTGCATGGGTTGATGCTCAACCACTGAGCCACACCAGCTGGGCTGATATCAGTACTTTTGCAGCTTGTTTGCTTTGGAATCTATATCTAGAGGGACCTTCAAAGTACTTTTCCCTGTAAATTTCAGACCATGTCCAACTTGGCTGTACTGCTGAGAATAAGAGGGAATGGAAACAAAAAATGAAAGCGTTCTGTCCAGACTCCTGAAGGAATAACCTTCCCCTACTCTGGCTAGCTCCAAAAAGACCAGCTACAAATTCATGCAGATGAGTGGAGCAGAGGCCACATACCTGCCTAGTGGGTGGCTTTTAGGGTATTGGGTTTTTCACCCGAGTATGCACTTTTGAAAAATTCTTCCCACCCAACCCTGGGGAAACCGGCACCCAACATAACTTGAGGATTTTTCCAGCTCAGAAACCGTCTCTGGAGCCATGGAGAATAATGTCCCAGTAAGTGGACAGGTGACTACAACTGATTCAGACAACCCCCAGCCCCCAAGAGAGATCCCCCCCCCCCAAAGAGCTGTAAAACGACTCTAATTTGTTATTTTCCCAGATTGGGAACTCAATTTTATTTTGCAATAAATGCTTCTAGAATGTATATCCAGCTGAGACCGTTTATTTTTCTCTTTGAAAAACTCGGGATCAGAAAGGGAATGACGTGTTCCAAGTATGCACATGGCTAAGGGAGAAACTAGAACTATCCAACCACCTTGGTATCAGTGTTTGACAAATAATAAAATTGAGACTGAGGAACTGGCCAATAGGAAAACAATCCAGACTCCCAAATTTAAAAGGTGTTATTTTAATGCAACCTAAGCAACTTGAGGAACAAGGAAGCCCTTTGAACTTGAACCATATTCAAAGCATGTTTACTCTCTTAACTTGGGCATCCTGGGGTGTCTGTACACCAAGGACCTGGGCCCCAGGGCAGAGACTAGGAAAGTTGTGGATTCTCCCTTCCTCATTTGCACTTCTACATCTTCCATTGGCAATCTCTGGGGGAGGAGTAGTTTCTCCAAAAGAGCCCTGGGGCACAGCCACTGGTCTCCTAAATCTGAGCATCTCAGCCTTGGGGGTCTCCCCTTTCTGCAAAGGCCAAGCACAATTTATTTTTTAAATGCCAACAGGAAATAACCAAGATTTTTTTTTTTTTTTTTGCGTGAAAAGGAAGGTAAACTGTTTATTAAGGAAGTTGGCATTTCAAGAGAAACCATAAGCAGGTGCCTTGAGAGTCTGCTTTGGTGCCTTTAAAACTATTACAGATGCCAGAGACCAGAAGTAATCCATAAAAATTTAGCCTATCTCAAAAAAAGAAAACCTTTCCTCTACCTTGCTCCTTCTAAGGAATGTAAAAAACACATTATCATTAGTGACAGAGAAAGGAAGTGTGGTATGTGTGTGTGTGTGTGTGTGTGTGAGTTTATACAGAGAGTGAAAAAGGAAATGGAAGAGATACTACCTAAGCACAAAATTGTGGTGAAAAAATAGGCAACCAAAAGATTATTTCCCTGCAACTTAGAGAAAAAACAAACAACATAAAATTATCTGGTCCTGAGGTTAAACCCTTAACAAACATAGATGCCAAAGTACCCACATGAAACCTGAGTTGTGATTCTGTGCTAGGGAAATGAAAGACCTGGATTTTCTCCCTTTATTCCTAACGAAATCTCCATCCAAAGAGCCCAGGTACCTGATGCTTTGACAATTTCCCCAGGACCTTTCTGATATGACCAAATAATCTTGGTGGGGGGTTCAGAAACAAAACCATCCCTGCTGTCCTGTCTAAACTGTCATTCAAGAACATGCCTTGTACACCCTGGCCAGTTTGGCTCAGCGGTTAGAGCATCGGCCTGCGGACCAGAGAGACCCGGGTTCGACTCCCACTAAGGGCACGTACCTTGGTTGCGGTTTGTCCCTGCCCCGGTTGGAGTCGTGTGGGTGGCAGCCACTCGATGTGTCTCTTTCACATTGATATTTCTCTCTCTCTCTTCACCACTCTCTCCTTCCCGCTCTATCTGAAGATAAATGCAAAAATGTCCTCAGGTGAGGATTAAAAAAAAAAAAAAATTAAAAAAAAAAGAACATGTCTTGTGTTTTCTGTGGGCTTTTATCTGAGGTTTTCACTATGAAACCCAGAGCAATTGGGAAGTCCATGAAAAGTTTGTCAACTTCCCCAAAAAGCTCATAGTCCCACTCCTTGCAAGCCTCTTCCATCTTCATTCATCTTACCCTCCTGGTGATCAATCACATCAACCCATCTTCCCATGGAGCCTGGGCCAGAAACTAAAGGAATTCTAATTTCTCTACATCCATCACCTTCCTGTCAGGAATTCATTCTGCGGCCTTACAGTGTCATTCAGATTCATTAGTTGCCACCCTACAGCCCTTCCCTTTTGGCTCATCCTTAACAAACCGGCTATCATTAAGGTGATAGAACAGTAAAACCCCCATGTTCAATAGGTTCAGGACCCAAGACAGGAAGATGGGCCACAATCTGGTGGTGGATTTGAAAACCTACTGAAAAAGGAATCCACTCCAGGATGGAAACCTGTCCCTGAGCCTACTCCCACATTTCAGTAAATCCAGGTACTGCACCTGACATCACTTGGAGAATAGAAGACTCAGTATTTTCTCAGCCTAGATTAAAAAGGGAAATATGCTTATGCTTGTCAGGCCCCTATGAAGGTTTTCCTCCTCCTCGTCTTCCGTCGTCCCATCTGACTTGCTGTGGGTAGAATTAGGTACTCCTAAGGAAATCCCGGGGCCTTTTCCGAGAGTTTCCCCTTGCCAATCTCCTCAGGACTTGCTTATGGGTTATAATACAGGCAAAGGAGGAAAGGAAGTAACTGAACACCTACTAAGTGTCAGGTGCTTAATATATATTATCTCCTTTAGTCCTCAAAACAATCCAATTAAAAAGTTTCAAATATCCCCTCTTACTACTGAAGAAACTGGCTCAGAGAAGTTAAGCACCTAACCTAAAATTAAACACAAGGAGATGAATTTGAATTCAGGCCTGCTACCAACGCTCCCTTATACATCACTTAAACTCTGGGAGCCCAGATCATCTTAACTGTCTTGACAGCTTTGTAGAGTGACTACCATTCATATGCAGTGAAAGGCATCCTCTTCCTCCCTCTTCTGCAAATAGGAGAGTCACATGTCCCAGCCCTTCTCCAGAATGAAGAGACCTAACTTTTGACTTGCAAAGGCCTTCCTTAGAATGATAAAGCAGATAGCCTGACTCCTGCTGACTTGGGAGGGCTGAATCCTGGTTCTCAGGGGGTACTCAATGAAAAAGGCTAACCCTTATGGTCTATATTAGAGGTCAAAGTTTCAAAAGGAATGTCAAAGGAGGGGTGTTTGTTTTAGAAGATAAAGGAAGAAAAAACAGGATCCAGAGAAACACAAATTTCTAGCCCTAGATCACAAACTACTCATAATTCTTGATCACAAAAGACTTAGAGCCCAAACAAAGATGTCTGGGTCAGAAGAAATGAAAGCAAGGACCAGAGCAAAGACTTCTAGAAGAGGTTAAAGATGTTTGGGTAGGACTAGAGCTCTAACCTACCTAATTCTGCAGCATTCCCTGCCACAGGAGGAAAGCTGGGTTTAGGGGAGAAAAGTATCCCTCTCAATATCACCAAGTGAGATAGCTTAACACAGAATTCTAGACTCCAGGGCCCTGAACACTATGACTGGTGCTCTGGCCGCCCTGTCAGGCTGCCCTTTCCAGCAGGAAAGGGGACATATTATGACCAATGGGAAACGTTAAGGAAATTAGGCCAGGGCTGTAGGAAGCTTCAGACTACACTTGGCCAGTGAGGTAACAGCAAAGCTCTGGGTAATGAAAGTGGGAGTATGAGGAGGAGGTGGGTGGGATGTGGGTGAGGGAAAGGCCTGGTGGTGCACCAGGTGCCCAAATGTAGTCCCCTGTTTTTCTCAGATTCTCAGGTACCTGTGCAGACCTAGATGGAACTCAGTGATCCTGAGAAGATCCCTTATCATTTCTTTATCAAGAACTTCTTGCAGTTTATACCATTTGATTCAAACACCTGCTTCTTAATAGGAGAGCTCCTAATTCAAAGCTGAAGGAAGAGAAGCACGTTGTGTACTGTTCTGAAAAACCATTTGTGAGAGGGGAACCAATCCTTCCCAACTTGACAGTCCTTATTAGGTCATTTGCTACATGTCTAACCAGAATCAGCACTGCTATATTTTATTTATTTATTCATTCATTCATTCATTCATTCATTCTTTTTTTTTTTTCATCCTCACCGGAGGACATTTTTTCCATTTTTTGTTCAGATAGAGTGGGAGGGGAAAGAGAGGGAGAGAGAGAGAGAGAAACATCGACTTGAAAGGGACACATTGAGTGGCTGCCACCCACACAACCCAACCAGGGCCGGGGACAAACCGCAACAGAAGTACATGCCCTTAGCAGGAACCGAACCCGGGTCTCTCTGGACCGCAAGCTGACGCTCCAACCGCTGAGCCAAACTGGCCAGGGCCAGAGGATATTTTTCTATTTATTTCTATTTATCTTAAGATAGAGTGGGAGGGGGAGG